TCTCAGTGACATTACTGGAGCTCACTTGGAGTTATGGCTTAAATCTTCTCCAATGTTAGGCTAGTCTCTGGGGGTGCTTCCCTGGAAATCTAGCCCCATTCCTCATTCCTTCCAAGCCTTCCATAATAAAATGAATCAGTGCTCCTGCTGTCATTCTGAGGGAATTCTTCCAGAGTTAAAGATGGGAATTTGGCGTGGGTGCTACTTTCAGAAAATACACAGCATTGCTCTGAGCTATGGACATGTTTTATCTGCACTTCTGCCAGATTTTCTTGGAGGAAAATATTTCTGAAGGCCCAGTTTCCCTAAATAAAATAGATTTAGAGCCAAAGTAGAATATTCATACCTTATGTTTGATTAAATTTTTGTTTTCCTCACATATTCATCAACATTTAGCTTCTTTGATTGTCATGCTTATCCTGTAAGCAGGTAGATTTTTAGAGATTTTTCTAGGAGAAATATTTCTCCAGAAAATAGTTCCACTGGGTAATTTGGGAAAAGATTGAGATTTTGCTCATTTATAAAGAGAAAACTACAAAAAGGAGTAATATTTTAGTTAGGGTATGGTCATGAGTAAAAAATATTTCATTAACATGGTAAACCAACCCTTCCTCTTCTACGGACATCTATGAAATACTTTTCCAGTATTTTAACAAAATGTGTTGATTGGGTCTCTTTAAGCTCTATAATTGGAAAACAGAGATCCGGGTAGCAGAGCAGGTAATGATTAGTGAGCTCCAGGATGGCAGACTCCAAAATGACGAAAATATTCATTTAATTCATTTTCATATTTCCTAACAGATTAGAGCTGAGAACTCTTGTAATGTTTTTGATGATGATGTGTTAGAGATAAAGTACATTATACAGTGTCCACAGCAGAGAAGAATATAGAAGATATGCTTTGTCTGTACTTCCTATTTCATAATTAATCAGGGACCTCATCTTGATCAAAACTTCTAAGAATTGGAAACTGGTTTCCTGGTAGCAAATGGGAGAACCATAAATTTCAAACATGTCTCTGAAATTAAAAAAAATCCTTTTAAATTAGTACCAGTGTATTGATAAAGGATCTATGCATAAATGACCAGATCCTAGTCCTTTGTGAGAAGGAAGAGAACACATGGGTATATCAGCAAGATAGTTAACATCTACAGGAAATGCCCAATATGAAACAATAAAGACTATATCTCTCAACTGAAATAACTAAATGGAAAAAAATGAAAAACCAATTTTCAAGACACTGGACATCAGGAAATGAAAGACATTGATCCCTGAGGACTGGAAAATAAATGAGGCAAACCGACTGACTGCTCCAGCATCCTGCCTCTAGAGAGTGTCTGGGCCATGCTGCAGGAAGAGGGAGTTAGGTGCAGTTCAGTGTAATCCTTGAGAGAAGAGAGAGCCCCAAGAATCTGCAAAGGGACCCCCCCAAATATTCAGCAGGAAGTTCTCACTTTAGTAGTAGGAAATAGTTAACTTTAAATCAGACACTGTTCCAGACTCACCTAACAAATCATAACAAAACTCTAAGAAGTCAAACTGTGTCCATGGAATTGGACTGCCTCCCAAAACAAAGCACATCAATATTTATAAGACTACAAAAGTATCCCCCCTTCAAGAAGAAACATTTTACACTATCTGGTATAAAAAGAAGCAAAAGACATGACAAATAAACTCATAATCACTCAAAACCAAACCAGAACTGACACAGATGTTAGAATTAGAAGATAAAGATATTAAAACAGTTGTCATAACTGTATTCCATATGTTAAAAAGTCAACTAGAGACATAAAAGGTACAAAAACAAGGATTTAAAAATAATTTGTAGAGCTGAAAACTGCACTGTTTTAGGTAAACAATAAACTGGATGGAAATAATGATAAATTAGATTTAATAATAGAAAAAATTAGTGATTTGAAGATATAGCAGTAGATATTATTCCAAAATAAAACTCAAAACTCAGGGAGAAAAAAAATTCTTTAAAAAGGGCCATACGTAAATTTCAGTCCCTGCTCTCATAATTGGCAGAAAAACAGCAGGAATATCATAGGCTTAAATAACCCTATCTAATAGCCAGCTTGACCTCACTGATATTTATAGAACATTTCAAACAACAGCATAATATACATTTTTTCCCAAACATGCATGAGACATTTACTAATGAGACAAATACGGCTTTTTTAGGCTTTAAAACAATTCTCAACATCTTAAAAGAATCAATACCAAGAACATTCTCTGGCTGACATAGAAGTAATTAAAAATCAGTAACAGAAAGATCTTTGAAAAATCTCCAAGTATTTGGAAACTAAATAAAGCACCTCTAACTAACCCATGGTCAAAGAAGTAAAATGGGAAGTTAGAGGGTATTTTGAAATTAATGACAGTAAATTCACAGTATATGAGAATTTTTGAGGTTCCATTAAAGCAAGTACTAAGGGAGGTCAATTATAACATTAAATGCTTATATTGGTTAAAAAAGAAAGAGAAAGATTTCAAATAAATTTCTACTGTATGAAATAGAAAAACAAGAGTGAGTTAAACCCAAGGTAAGAAGAAGAAAGGAAGTATTAAAATTAGAGTAGAATTCAATCAAATAGAAAAATCAAAATCTTATTGTTTCTTTGAGAAGATCAATAAAATTGTTAGAAGTATAGTCAAACTTACCAATTATCAATTTCAGTAGTGACTGAGGAGACCTAGTCTACAGGTATTAAAAGGATAGTTGGGAGGGCCTCCCTGGTGGCGCAGTGGTTGAGCGCTGGCTTGTGAAGCTGCCGGCGACCTCTGCGGCGCCGGTTCGATCCCCGGCTGCTCCCCGGCCACCTGAGGAGGGTCCCACATGGCACGCAGACCTCTCCTGCCGCCCGCTGCTCCCCTCAGCAATGTGCTTCGGTCTTTCTGCCTGCTCTGCTCCCTGCTCTGGCTCTGGTGAATTCTCTCACCCTCCCGCGCTTCTGACTGTACCCAGTGCTTGTATAAACAAAACAAACAAATAAATAAATAAAACATGCCTCTATTTAAAAAAAAAAAACAAACATTTAAAAAAAAATAAAAGGATAGTTGGGGAAATGTTTTTTGGATTTCTTTTTTTTTTTTTGCCTATAAGTTAGACAGCATAGCTGATATATATGAATTTCTTTCAGTGCACAAATTACCAAAGTGTAGTCAAGAAGAAGTAAACTAAATAGCCCTAAACCTAGTAAAGAAATTGAATGTGTAGTTCAAATATTCCTGTAAAGAAAACTCTAGACCCATATGACTTTGCTAGTGAATTCCCCAAAACATTTAAGGAAGAAATAATACAAATTTAATACATACTCTTCCAGAAAATTAAAGCAGAAAAGAGTTACTACGTGGCTAGATTACCATGATACCAAAACCAGACAGAGAGGCATTACATAAAAAGAAAATCTGCAGACTGACATTCCTCATGAACACATATAAAAATTCTCAACAAAATTATAGCAAATAAAATATAATAATATTAGCTTGATCATGGTAATCACTTCACAAAGTATACCTATATCAAAAAACTGCATTGTATATCTTAAAGATATGTAATTTTTATTTATCAAAATCCTACAGGAGATTAAAAAAATAATGTGACATATACCCCAGAAATGTGAAGTTTGTAAAGAATTAAAAAATCAGCATTTATTTGCCCCATTAAAACGTTAGCCATGGTATTGTTTTTTTGGGGGGGGGTGGTTTGCATTGTATTTCAATGTTAAGCTTTTATGACATCAATTCATTTGTGAGGATTAAATAAAGTAATATATGCAAGTTTTAATGCTGGGTCAAGAACAAAGGGAGCTCAATAAAATTTCATCATTTAGAAATCTATCAGTTGCTTGATTAGGCTCACAAACACACTTCTTTCACAGAAAAGAAAGAGCATCTATTTCCTTTCTTTCTGAGCGCACATTTCCTGTTGTGGACTCACCAACCAGATATCATCCCCATGATTGTAGACATAGTTTGATAACCCTTAGGCTCAGAGTTGTGCTGCTTCAAGTACAACAAGATAAGTTAGCAGAAAGTAAGTGGAGGCAGTTTCCTTCATTGAGAAAGTCTTGCTACCAAAAAAAAAAAAACAACCCAAAGTGAAGTCGTATGAGCTCATCTAAAAGCTTACAAATGGGGCCTCCCCGGTGGCGCAGCAGTTGAGCGCTGGGTTGCGAAGCTGCCCGCAGCCTCTGCGGTGCTAGTTCAATCCCCGGCTGCTCCCTGGCCACTGGAGGAGGGTCCCAAATGGCGCGCAGACCTCTCCTGCCACACCCTTCCTCGCTTCTGACTGTACCCAGTGCTTGTATAAATAAATAAATAAATCTTTAAATAAATAAATAAAAGCTTACAAATGTAATAGACCTATCTTATGATGCAGGCCCCTTGTCATGGGTGTATCTGCTGTGGATTGGCACTTTGAGTGCCGAGATCTTAGAGTATGGCATGTCATACACAGATTTTGGGTTCTAAAGTCGGCTTTTATACTTAATGTCATGACAAAAGGCTATCTAACATACTCAGAACATGTATATAAAGATATATATGTTTGCGTTATCAATAAATGTGACTTTGGTATGTAGTCTTTTCTCTTGGATATTTACATAAGATAAAATTTCATGCAAATGTGTACTCCAAATTTGATAGCCATGTGTGGTACACTAGAAGTAACTAAAATTTTTTAAATTATAATGTTTGTCATCTTGCATGTGAAAAATAGCTGGAGGATCAGTCAATCCATTGACAAAGATCTGAGATAGGAGAGCAAATGGGTTTTTTCTCATCTGACAACACTTATCAAGTGATGGTGGCTGTCCACGCACTGTGGGGAGACGTGTGGAGAATGTATCTGGGAACAGCACTGTGATTAGTGGTATTTGTCATGGGTAAGGGAATGAAACTTGGCAACACCCCATGCTGTGTATTCGCCACCCGTGGCTAGGAGTTCCAAGTTTATCCTTTCACTGGAAAGAGTGACTCGAGTTATTCTGTTGCAGGAGATGAAAATCATGGCAGAAAAGAAGAACTAGGTCTTACTTACCAACCTGGAGATGCCTCTCTTCAAGAATATTACATGGATGTGGCTTTCCTCATAGATGCTTCCCACAGAGTAGGAAATGATGACTTTGAGGAAGTGAAAGCTTTTATAATCTCAGTGCTCGATTACTTTCATGTAGCCCCAGACCCACTGACCTCTACCTTAGGAGATAGAGTGGCAGTCCTGAGCTACTCACCTTCAGGCTATATGCCCAACACTGAAGAATGCCCTGTCTACCTGGAATTTGACTTGGTTACTTATAGCAGTGTATACCAAATGAAACATCATCTCCAAAACTCTCTTCTAAAGCTTAATGGAGATGTTTTTATTGGCCATGCCCTGCAGTGGACAATTGATAATGTCTTTGCAAGAACCCCCAACTTAAAGAAAAACAAAGTTATCTTTGTTATATCTGCTGGTGAAACCAACCCACTAGACAAGGAAGTCTTAAGAAACGTGTCTCTGAGAGCCAAGTGTGAGGGCTACTCCATATTCGTGTTTTCTTTTGGTCCAACACACAATGAGAAGGAGTTAGAAGAATTAGCCAGCCACCCACTGGATCATCACTTGGTCCAACTCGGCCGAACCCACAAACCAGATTTGAACTATATCATCAAGTTTATCAAGCCATTTGTCCATTTAATCAGACGTAAGTCATTAAAACTTTTCTTTTCTGTTGCTTGTGCAGTAGACTTCATGTCTGTATGTACAGTCTACCAGTTGACTTACTAACATGATCCTCATTTTAATCAAGAGTGGTGAAGTGTAAGGAGTGAGTAGGAAGCAATGAGAAAACCCCAAGTCTTACTGGCCTTAAACTTTGCTGCTGCATCATCAAAGCCTTTGCCAGAAAACCCCTATATCCCTATATGGGTGAAAAGGTTCCCTAACCCTCATCTGTAAGTGTCTACTGTGTGCCAAGTTCTGTTCCAGATCACCTTTGGTTCTGGTTTGCATTCTTAGGAGCCATGGGCAAATCTCTTACAATGCCCCTGTCCCAAACAGCCAGGTTGGGCATCGCCAGGCAGTAGCGTTAAGAGTGTCTTTTTTTAGTGGGTCTTTGATGGTGGCAGCCCCAGGCTCTGTCCATGTGTTGTAATTTTAGATATAGATATGGTGACCCACCTAAGAGCTTGTGGCATCAAGTCTTTGCCTATGCTGGAAATTAAGAGTGGGGCAGAGGCTGCATTGAATGGTTGCTTTCAGGTTTACTAGGGAATCACAGGGATGCAGCCTTTCTGGCACTCGTAAAGCCCAGGGCACATGCTATTCTCAGGAATACTGGAATTCAGGATTTATATTTAGTAGCAGACTTGTCACTTGCAAAGGAGAAAAAAAGGTATCTTCTTCCAATCCCAAGATAAACAGAGCAGAAAATTTCAAAAGCTAATGATATTGGAGTCTTCTAGAGACATCTTCCTTTAACTTTTAGAGGGAGAGAAACAGATTATGGAAGGGATTACAGTTGCCCTTGAATTATATCCCGAGACCTATGATGTACAAAGCATGAAAATTTAGTTCTCAATTGCTGCTGTATCTTGTTGATTTTGCCAATGAGGTAGTTTCCGTGTCAGAGGGTACCTACTTTGCTTAGTCCCTTAAAAAATTAATTTGCTCTTGGTAGCACCTCCAGCCACAGGGGAAAAAATGAACTGCCTTTGGGTGGTAGTCAGAAAGTAGCAGGGTAAAATTTAGACTAATCAGCCCACTCTCTCTCCAGGTGCCATCAACAAATATCCCCCTGCAGATCTGAGACTCAAGTGTGTCAACATCACCTTCCCCACCCCAGAGAATGTTGGCACAGAAAACATTGTATTGTGAGTTGAGACATTCACAGTTTGAGTAATAATACAACTGGAAACTGACTTTTAAAAATAATTTGAAATAAATGGCATTTTAGTTTTTAGGGTGTGTGTGTGTGTGTGTGTGTGTGTGTGTGTGTGTGTGGTGTAAAAGTACCTGGTTTGTGATGACAGCCCAGGTCTGATGTTAATAGGAGTGCATGACTCATATTAGTTAGAAGCATGTTTCCATTTCTCTTGCTTTTACAGCAGAAAGAAAGGCCACTGTGGCATTGGCTGCTACCCAAACAGAAAATGTATATATCAAAGGTCTTACATGAAAATTTTAGAGCAGAAGAAAATCATGAAAAATAACAGTTTTTGCTGTTTAGGAAACATGCTATATAAAAATTGGCACAAAGGATTCATTTAAGGTTGATTTTGCAAAGTACAATCCTAAGTGCGCAATAAAATTTCAGTGATGAAAATAATAATTGGGTTGGAGTCCTAAATCACTGACACAAATGTCTGATTCCCCTTTGGAGTGTTAGAATATTGCCTGTGAGTCCAATTCCATCCACAAACCGCACTTGGACGATTCCAGTCCCATCCATACAATTGATTCCTGTTCTATGATCTGGTTGTATTTACATTTAATTCCGCAAGGGACGTGGCTAACATATTTTTCATCTCTTTTCTCTATCACCTCAGCCTTATTCCTGGGGTATATGAAATAGAGACAGAAAACGGTGAGCTGTCTGATGAATTTGGTTCCCAGGAACAGCATTTCTTTGCATTAGGGAATAATCAGAGTAATGGCTCTGGGACCACTACTGATTTGATCCAGAAGTTATACTTGCTCTTTTCAACTGGGGAACTGAGGACAAAAGACAAGGAAGAGGCACATTCAGAAGAAATTACAGCTCTAGCAAATGATAAACCGCGAGATGAAAAAGGTAACCCCCGGGGCACACTAGAATAGAAGACCCCGCAGTGCCTTTGCTCATTTGGATCTTCCCCTGCTGGAAGATGAGCAATAAGAACTCATTGGAATAGGTGGAGATCATAGGATAACTAGCTTATCCACTAGGCTTACCAGGGGTCTCCAAAAATAAGGGGGAAGAGAGGCAAAATCCCAGAAAAGCTGTGGTATCAACAGAACCCCTAATGAGAGGTAGATGCAAATGCTTGGCGTGAGGTCCAGGGATAAACACCTGAGGGAACAAGAACAAGGGGTGCAGGTCCTAAGCAAGCAGGGGAAGCCCTTGCCTTTGTGCACATCAAGAGTGGGGAGGAACTGTGGCGACCATGCAGAGCGTGACAATGAAGGTCTGCCTCCCTCCTTAGCAACTGGGGCTTTCTGGTCTGAGACATGGGTGCTACACAGAGCTCCTGCCTCAGAGGGCTGGAGGGGACAGGCTGCTGCTGTGGATCTGAGATCCCTGTGGCAGCTGAAGGCAGTTTATCAGTCTGAAGAGAAAATAGAAATGCAGAACAGGAACCTGTAGTAAATTTTAGTATAACCTTGGCTGTGTACCAAAATTATGTGCAAATTATCTTAAATATTCCTAGCTGAAAATACGCAAATCCTATCACCTAGCAACTTCATTCCAAAGTATATAACCAAGAGAAAAACATATTTACCCAAAGTCATGTACTAGAATGTTCATAACAGAACTATCTGCTAGCTCCAAAGTTGGGGGTAGGGCCTCCCCTGGTGGCGCAGTGGTTGAGCACTGGGCTGCAAAGCTGCCCGCAGCCTCTGCAGCACCGGTTTGATCCCCAGCTGCCATCGAGGGTCCCACATGGCGCGACAGACCTCTCCTGCTGCGCCCGCTGCTCCCCTCAGCAGTATATTTTGTCAATCTGCCTGTTCTGTTCCCCTGCTCTGGAGTTTTCTCACCCTCCTACACTTCTGACTGTACCCAGTGCTTGTATAAATAAATAAATAAATCTTAAAAAAAAAAAAACCAACAAAGTTGGGGGTAGGGGAAAGATGCCTAACAGCAGATATGATAAACTTTGGTATAATTCTATAATAAAATACTGTATATGTATATAGTATGTGTGTAAAATACTTCACGTGAATGTAGCATGCATGTGTACTTCAAAAAGCTTAAAGCTATAACTAAATATACATGCCTACTACATTCATGTGAAGTATTTTACACACATACTGTACACATATATAGTATTTTATTATCATTGTAGATGTTGCTAGTATACTGCAAGAGAACAAAATCAGCAAAATGATTGGAAATGAGAGATGAGGAAGTATGAAAAATATAGACAGAAAAGGATGAGAAGATAATCTATAGAGAAAAAGAAATTAAATATAAATGTAAGGAGATATCCAGTCTAGATATACTAGGTCCTCTTTAGCCTCAAGATGAAATAAGCTCGGGCCTCCCCAGTGGCACAGCGGTTGAGCGCTGGGTTGCGAAGCTGCCCACAGCCTCTGCAGCACCAGCTCAATCCCCGGCTGCTCCCCAGCCACCAGAGGAGGGTCCCACATGGCGCGCAGACCTCTCCTGCCGCTCGCTGCTCCCCTCAGCAGTGTACTTCGGCTCTGGCTCTGGTGAATTCTCTCACCCTCCTGCACTTCTGACTGTACCCAGTGCTTGTATAAATAAATAAATAAATCTTTAAAAAAAAAAATAAGCTCATACTGCCTCACTCCCCCACTGGTCACAACTGAAAACTGTACAAAACACAAAAAGCAGCTTCCCAAGAACTCTGAAAAGTAAACACAGGCAGACATATTATGAAGGGGCACGTGTTTGTGCCACTTTGCTGACGGTGGTCGCCAGCCCTGGAGCTGCGTGGTGGCCGGGGAGTAGGTGGCTAACCACTACAGAAGGTCCATATTTCTAGCCTGAAGAGCTAGAAAGGGTGGGGGGTCCCTACGTGTTAGAAATGGTGTAAGGAATCCCCATTTTTCCCCTCTTTTTTCCACATGGTTTTGCTGTAAAAGTGAGCACCAGTGTAGAGCAGAGCGGAAGGCTGAACCACTCAAAGAGAAACTCTGTCTTTCTGGACAGAGGAAGAGAGCCTGTGTTGGCCAGTATATGGGGATAACCTTGGCGGGAAGAGAACTGGAGAAAGAATCCCTAAATCTAATCATGGCATCATGTATCTATCCAAAACAGAATAGATAGCTAAGACTTCAGATGTAAAACAGATGGAAGTACTGCCCACAGAAGGTGAGATCACACTTGCATTCTGAACCTGCCAGGTTCATAGCCTGAGGGAAGAAATCAAATAATGTACAAAAATGAACAGTGATGTCAGAAAATAAATTTAAAATAAATTTAAAAAAGCAAAAGCCTATTGAGAATTATAATAGGATTTAGTCTATATAGTCTATACAATATGATACTCAAAATGTTGAGAATAGAATCCAAAATTACACAACATACTATTATGACTAACTACATGAGGTAAAGGTAAGCAGCTTGAAGTGAACAAAAAGATATTCTCAACAGAGAAATTAAGATTACAAAAAAGAAATAAAAGAAATTTTACAAGTTAAAAATGCATCACCTGAAATATCAGAAACTCGCTGGACAGCCTCATTTATCAGCGAAGATGGCTGAAGAACAGTAACCTTGAAGATAGATTAATTTTATAATCTGAAGCTAGAAAAGAGATTTTTAAAAAATGAACAGAGACCTATGGAATGATATAAATAAAATCTAAACTTTGTTTCATTGGAATTCTAGAAAGAAAGAAGCAAATTCATGCAGGGATAAAGTTTGAGGAAATAATATCCAAAAACTTCCCAAATTGTTAAGACATTTCACAGATTTTAAAGGCTCAAAGACAACCCCACCCAGATACAACATAAGCTGCTAAAAGGAAAGAAAAAAGGAAGACAAACAAAAATCTTGAAGCAACCAGAGAAAAAATGACATGTTACAAAAGAAGGAAACAGCTAATAAATGACTGAGTTTTCTCATCAGAAACCATGGAGGCCAGAAGATGCTAGAACATTTTTCCTTAGAGGCTGGGAGGAAAGAATGGTGAGCTCATAATTTCACATCCAGTGAAAAGAACCCTGTGAAAAATAAAGGCAAAATAAAGACATTCTCATAAAAAGGGAAACTAAGAGAATTTGTTGCTAACCTAGTGTGAAGGAGAACTCTGGTGAGGCACCCAGGAAATCGGACTGAAGCCAAATGGCAAGTGACTGGCAGGGGAGAACACACAGGGCAGGTGGAACTGAGGAGGGGACCCAATTACAAAGTCAGATAATTCACTGGACTGGAAGGAAGTTGGCTGAGTAAGAGAAGTGGCATCTACCAGATGCAGCTCACCTATGTTCAGAGATACATATGTATAAAATAATTTCATAAACGTGATGGATTCCTTCCAAAACACTGTGTGGGAGCAGGCGTTGATCAGCTGTGTTAGGCGTCTCAAGGTGATTTGCTGCTGGAAACGATAAGATTGATGGAATCAAAAAGTGATCACAAACATTAGCAATGCCATTCTTGTTTCTTTTTATTCTTAATTTTTTCCTCCAAAAGTTTTCTGCTTAATTATGTGTCATTCATATATATATATATATATATACACACACACATACACATATATATTCATATATATATTCATATATATATGTAAAATAGCATAATCTGAAAGTAGATCATTTTTCTCAGAGTTCTCGCCAACAGCTGGGTTGGGTGACATTCAGTCAGCCCTGCTCCTTGAAGTCAGTCTGGATCGCTTCAGAAAATGTCAGATTGGCTTTTTTCTTGAAATCACGGAAGGTTAGAGTTTGAAAACTGGAATGACTTTAGAAATCACAGAATCACACTGCATCCTTTTACAGATATGGAAGTGGGTACAGCAGCCATCTGACGTGTCTTATCAAGGAACAGTCTCAGCACCCGCCCCAGAGCTGTTTTGTCACAGTGATTCAGACTCTTGAACACAAATGCCTCTTAACATTAGCCTGTGGAAATGAAATAATAAAACCTCTCTGGGTTGTTGAAAGATTGGAAATAATACACACGAAGCTCAAAACGCACATTGTGCCTGGCACAGGATCAACCAGTGTGGTCCCCATGTGAATTACCCAGCTCTGGTCATACATTTGACAATAAAAAATGAAAATCCAGTGTGTAGAATGATCAGCCTTCATATAACTTGCTCATCTTTTGTTTGCCCAAAGAGAGTGGGCTTCTCTTTACACCTGCCCCTTTTTCTGATGTGTTCATTTTCTCTATCTTCTTAATGTACGGATTTCCTGTTTGCTCATTATGATGTATATTTGCAAAACTTTACTATGGATTTTTTTAAGTGTGTCTTCTTTTTTCCATTATGCCAACCCAGGACTTGTTTCTTAGTCTTGCTTTTCCAGTGTTAATGCAATGTTTCTCAAAGGGTGTTCCCTGGAACAGGGAGTACCAGCATCAGTGAGAAACCCATTAGAAATGCAGATTCCTGGCTCCCCCACCCCCACCCCCCAGATCCACTGGATTAGAAGCTTTGGGCTGGGGATCTTCTGATGAAGACTAGAACCACTGACCTAATGTGACAGATCTTGAGCCTAAATTGGTCTTCTCTAGTGGGGGTCCTTTCACTGGATACTGGCAGGTATTTGGGGGGAAAATCATTTTCCTAGAAATCACTGATAAGTAAGCATCCTTGTGGCAGGACTTGTCAGACACATGGGCTAAACAATAGCTCCCTGATGAAATGGAACCTTGCATCAAGGGATCATGTTTTGTAACAACCACTTTGGTGAACAGTAGTTGGATTTGATTGCTATTTCTGCAGTTCCTGGTCAGGTGATCTTAGGCACTCCACTCCATTTGCTTGCCTATAAAATAGGGATAATAATGGAGTCTCTGGCACAGGCTGATGTGAGCAGAAAGTAAAGGTTGAACGCATCAAATGGCACTTTGTACAGAGTTAAGCTTCATTGTACTGCCACTGCAAGGATGACATGATATAAGGGCGGTGGCCCTGGAGGCCATGAGGAGGCCCAGATGCTAGTCTCAGTTCTGTCACTAGCTTTGTCATCTCCGAGTCCTAGTCCTCAACTTTCTTATTTGCCTGATGGGGAACTGAGGCAAGGATGTGTCTCTCTCCTGAGGTACACATGTAGGGGGATGCAGAGACTTTCCAGTGCTTGGATCTCTAAGAACTAGTCTTAAAGGACTCTACCTTCCTGAGAATGTTCATGTCAGAGGAATTCCCACACCCCCTTGTACGAACTCTCCTCCCCCCACACTTCACACACACAAAATGGCATCTTCTCAGCCATTCTGAATCTGATTATGATGCTTGGCCCTGACATTAGACCCTCCTACAGAGGGGTGGGAGTCATTTCAAACATTTGATCTGTGGATTTCCTTTAATTGGAGCATAGCAGACCTGGATGGGGCTCTGGGTCTTTCCCATCCCCTACATATTTCTGTTGCTAGAAATGGTATATTTGAACTCATGTTTGGATATATTCATAACTCATAGATTATAGAGTGAGGATGATAAGAGTGATGATAAATGTCTTTTAGTAACCTGGCCTGTTCCGTTTGCCAACTGTTATCATGGGATGCACCTCTTCTGAGTAAGAGTAAAGCAGGGAGCATACTGGAGAAATACTTTGATGGAAAGCTAGCATTGTTTCACTGGCCAAAAAATTTATTGCAAGCACCTTAGTCTTTTACCTATCTTGGAGTAGAATCACAGTAAGACATCACATTATCTCCTCAGTAACATACTTTAATTGGAATTTCAAATCTGACTCTTTTTAAGGCAGAGGTATTGATTGGTTTTATAGTGATACACCATAGGGACATGTCCCATGAAACAAGTGAGCTAAGTTGGAGCTGTAAAACGCTGAAGAAAAAGTTCATAAACAGATTATAATTTATTTTATCAAAAAATGCTGTAGCTTGATTTACCAAGATTAACTGTTTTCTAGCCACATGTTAATTTCTCAAGTTAAATATGCCGCTGAGTGAGCAAGTAACTGGCATCATTAATAGCCATCGGATAAGTTTGGCAAAACATTTTGGGGTATATATCCTAAAAATAAGAAAATGTCATCTTCTATTCTTTCATAAAATCTTTTGGAAGATTATGGGTGGTGTTTGGTATATAAGTCAGAAAAGATTCAAAGAATTATTTGACATTGCTATTATCAGACTTCTTCAAAACCTGTCTGTCTAAACAATATTTAACAATGTCATTTAAAAATAAATAGTAATAGAACTGATAGCAAACCTTGCCTCATTCTAGCACTAAGCAATAATAAGTAAAAATAAGGGGAAAAGGACTCTTTAAGAAATGTATTCCAGGGCCTCCCCGGTGGTGCAGCGGTTGAGCACTGGGTTGCGAAGCTGCCCGCAGCCTCTGCAGCGCCAGTTCGATCCCCGGCTGCCGGGTGAGGGTCCCACATGGCCGCAGACCTCTCCTGCCGCCCACTGCTCCCCTCAGCAGTGTACTTCGGTCCTTCTGCCTGCTCTGCTCCCCGCTCTGGCTCTGGTGAATTCTCTCACCCTCCCGCGCTTCTGACTGTACCCAGTGCTTGTATAAATAAACAAACAAATAAATAAATAAATCTTAAAAAAAAAAAAAAAAGAAAAGAAATGTATTCCAGGGCCTCCCCTGGTGGCTCAGCAGTTGAGCGCTGGGTTGCGAAGCTGCCCGCAGCCTCAGCAGTGTACTTCGGTCCTTCTGCCTGCTCTGCTCCCCGCTCTGGCTCTGGTGAATTTTCTCACCCTCCCATGCTTCTGACTGTACCCAGCGCTTGTATAAATAAATAAATAATAATAAAAAAAAGGGGCCTCCCCGGTGGCGCAGCCGTTGAGTGTTGGGTTGCGAGGCTGCCCGCGGCCTCTGCGGCGCCGGTTCGATCCCCGGCTGCTCCCCGGCCACCGGAGGAGGGTCCCGCATGGCGCGCAGACCTCTCCTGCCGCCCGCTGCTCCCCTCAGCAGTGTACTTCGGTCCTTCTGCCTGCTCTGCTCCCCGCTCTGGCTCTGGTGAATTCTCTCGCCCTTCCGTACTTCTGACTGTACCTAGTACATGTATAAACAAACAAATAAATAAATAATACATGCCTCTTAAAAAAAATAAAGAATAAAGTAACTTACTTAAAAAAAATAATAATAATAAAAAAAATAAAAGAAATCTTTAAAAAAAAAGAAATGTATTCCAATAAAATGTTTACTTTTTGTTTCCATAGAATTACCAAAATTTAAAAATTATTTTTTTTGTTAACTTCTAATGGTAATCCATCTAGAAAAACATTTCAACACACAGAAGTTTATAGACATAGGAAATAAAAAAACATACATTTAGATATATGTTTCTTTAGAGAATTATGGTTAGGTGAACAATAAAAGATTTCAGTGCATATACATGACTTAATAGTTAGGCTGAAATTCTATCAAGCAAGTGGACTGGAAAGACAGATTCAAGGAGAGAAATGAATTCGGCAAAGTCTCTAACTTTTAATTTTGAGCATGTTTACATATATTTTAAAGGGAAAATGGCAATATCAAATCACTATGCTATCTAGAGTCCATTGGGCAAATTAAAAGAGATGTGTGGGAGTTTTATTTTTCAACGTCGGTTTTTACTCAGTGTCACCAGTTACATCCTTTTCAAGTGTCTGAGGACATGTAGGCAGGGGCATCTTTATGATCCTGTCTAGAGCTGTGGACCCTGAGTGAGGACTTATGAGTATGCAATTTACTGAAATGGCCTCATTCACGGAAGAAACAGTCAGGGAATGGAGGAAGCAAGAGAGGGAAGGAGTGAAGACAAGTAGGAGCGACATCTCGAGCAGAGTGCCACCTAGGGCAGCTTCAGCCTGCTCCTTCCAGGCACTTGGGCCTGTGAGTCCTGCTGTGGAATCGTCCTGACCTGACAAGCAAGGAGTCTTAGGCCCTCATAGAATCTTGATTGGTCAAGGCTGCCTGGCGTGGCTGTAGACTCCCAGTGCTCCTGCTGTGTATGGTTCCAGTCCTCCAGGGGCTGGGCAGCAGCCCCCTGAACGGTAGTAGGTGCTGATGCTCCTGGAAGCAGAAGTTCACGTGAGGGTTAGACGCAGAGCATAGGAATGTTGTCTAAAAATGAATGCTTAACAAAAGGGAGGTTCTGGGCAGAGTCCTGACGTTGTCTCTACTCCAATAATATCAGCCACTAAACATGCTAGGTGTGGAATTTCAGATCTCTCCCAGGAAGAAGTCTGTTAATAGGTCTACTTACATTTTGATCATTTATATCTATCATCACATCACCCTGAGCTGGACTTGGACTGTTGAAAGTGACCAAAAAAATGTGTATTTATGTCATGCATGGCATATAATGGAGTAGACTCTAGAGGGAATACCTTAAACAAATCAGTGACATTAAGAGCAATGTGTATTATTTTGTTTTGCAGATGGTGAGGACGTGAGATTACCATAGCAGCCAAGAAGATAGCTCCCAGGATTTGCGGGGCTGCATATAGTTCTAACCAGAGAGCGTACACCTTCTGCTGGAGGGCAAGCAGCCAAGTGGCAAGTTGCAGGGACTTTTTGTGGAGCTAATAGCTTGCTAAGTTTACTATCAGTTTCAAATCTGAGGGCAAGGCTTTTCTGAGTGAAACATTCTCAGAATGTAGGAATGATTTCATTACTCCTGAGAATTGGGACAACTGACCTTGAATTATTAACTGAGTCTTCTTTGACAGCTCTGCATAGTTCCACCATCAGTTCTGATGATGCATCTGCCTAAATAAAAATTTTGTCACCATTTTCATCACATGAGTAAAGGGCAGTTAGAATTAGAATTTCCTTGGCATGTCTTCTGTCTATTCATAGATAGAGAAATGCATGCTCCTGTCATCAGTTCTGGTAGGACCCTGGTGTTGCACCCAGCCTTGAGTACCCATTTGATTGTTCTTGTCACCATCATCCTGCTCTTTACCAGGACATTTACCAAAGAATGGAATTGGTGAGAAAGGAAAAAATGACGAGTCTCATTTTTATGAGGTGCTGTTTTATGCTGTGATTATGTTACATTTTAGTATGCTTTGCTTTGTCTTTTGCTTGATTTTTGCTGGGAAGAAAATATGGAAAAGCTTGAAGACTCTATATGACCAGAATTCATCTTGGGAATTATAGCACTGAAGAGACAAGTTTTAAAATAAAATCAAGTCTGACCTGGAAGCTCGTACTGTTCTTTTTTTTTTTTTTAAGTGTAGTCTAATTCATACCCATTAGAACTCTAGTAGAGAACAAAACATTTGGAAAACATAAATAAAATGTAAAATAAGCCAATAGTGAATTCATCCTAAATCATTCGACTTGGTTAAGGCATTAATTACCAAGTCGATGAATATATTCTATATGTTAATGGGGTTTTATTACAGGCAATTTTGTATTTTTTCCATTTAATTTTCCTAGCATTACTCTTATTATTTGAATAATGATGAAATAACCCAAACAAGTCTAGCCTGTCAACTTTAGCCACTTGCTTTGGGAAATTCTAAAGTAAACTGCTCTTTTAATAGTTTTTGTTTTTTCCCTAAGAATCATGTGTCTGTGTGTGTGTGTGCATTTGTGCATGTGTGAAGTGCAAATATGTACATGATGAATACATAAGATCCTTAAGTCTGAAATTAGAATGGGTTGATCAAAAAGACAAGCCATAGGAACTCACTCTTTGCTGATGGGAGTACAAATCTTTGCACCTTAAAATAGTATTTTATCCATATCTCATTAAGTTAATGCATATATCCTAAAACACAGAAATTCCACTGCTAGATCTCTATGCCTATAAAAGCTCTCACACATGTACACAGGGACCAAATGCAAACGTTGACCACTGTGTTGCATGTTTTGGTGAGGACTTGAAATCAGCCAAAATGTCCTAAATGTGGTGTATTCATACAATACAACCATTAAATTGGTAAATGAGAACTATATCTATAAACATGAACAAATCTCAAAGATTATATTGAACAAAACAGAGTTGTAGGATACATTAAGACATCATTTTACAACATGTACTATGTACAATATTTTAAAACCTGATCTACAATGCCATGTGTTGCTTAGGGATACCTCCAGGTACAGTAAAAGCATATGTGAGAATGATGAGCACCAAATTCAAGACAGGTTATATTTCAATGAGGAGGGGCAAAGCAGGGTCCAGTTGTCATTATAATGTTTTATTTCTCACCTTGATGATGGAAAAATGGGCATTCCATTTATTAGTCATGAAAATAAATGCAAAATTTGATTTTTTTAAGTAAATTATTATGCTACCTTAAGAACTGTGTTAAGATTTGTCAGGAATTAAGTATATAAATTATCCTTGCCCTTGAAAAATTTGCATTAAGTCAAGGTCACTAGAGTTGGGTACCATTCTAGAACGATGGTTGCCTTTGAACACCAAGCGCCAGGGAAACTTGTCCCCTTCTCTTATATGCCACATAATTTTGATCAGTGTATAAAGTTGGCTTATTTTTACCACTGAGTATACATTCATTTTTAATGTGGATTTATGTCTGAATGGTTACTCGAGGTTGTATGGAGCACAACAGAATTTTATGCATATGAGTGGTAAAAGGAGTGATATGAAGTGACAGTTTTCCCTGGAGGAACGATTAGATTGTCAATATAGCAAGGTTTTAAGTAAATTTATTGTCTATTTCAAACAGTCGAGCCAAATATGTAATGCTTGGACGTGTGCTGTGGGCACAAAATAGTTGAGAATCAACAGCAGAGGGTAAATGCAAGATGATAAAAATACTGAGCATGAAGGCAGAGGGAGGCTGCTAGTAGGGCCAGTCACTGCTTTGGAAATCAAAAGAAAGAACTACTGACTTGGGTTCAGATCACTAGAGAAGACTTCAAAAAAGAAATGAAATGCACTCCAGGTGTCTCTGTCTCTGTCTCTGTCTCTGTCTCTCTCTCTCTTTTTACTGACCCTTAATGCTCTCCTTCCAGGTTCATGAAGAAAACAGTACAAACTCCTTCCACACCTTGAAAGACTGCAAATGCTGACCTTTCTCACCTTTCCAACCTCATCTGTTCCCATTGCAAGGAATCTGCTCTCCTCCCTTCTATCATCCTTCTGGGTTGGCTCTCATTGCTTGGGAACACCCTCTGTGAGCTCCCCAAAACTGGTGAGGTAAGCCCATGCCACTGTTGTACTTCACTGTTTTCTCTTAGTCCCCGGGCTCTCCCTCTGGGTCCTCCTGAGGAGGGTTATAAGAGCCTGGCCCACATACTTGAAGTGAGCACCTCTGTTTGTTGTCCCCACCAGCCCCCGAATGGTACCTGGCCCTTGAAAGGCACCCAATGAAGATTTGATGAATGGGTAAACAGACTCATCTGCAAAGATAAATACGGTTTCATCTGATGGGGGTACAGGGGCAAGGAGCAATTGGCATGAACGATGAAAGGAAACAAAAGCTAGTAAGAACTGTATACATTTGTGCACTCAGGCGAGTAAGAAATTGGCAATGTGTAAGCAGAGGCCATTGTGACTGGGTTGGAGATGGTGGAAGCTGAGGCCAAAAGGCAAGTGTGGTGACTTGCTAAGCTACTGAAACACATTTTTAGAAGCTTTGAAAAAAAAAAGCAGGGGCCTCCCTGGTGGCATAGGGGTTAAGTCTCAGCACTATCATGCTGTCACCACTGCAACCTGAGTTCAATCCCTGGGAAGGGAGCTGATCCACATGGCACAGCAGACCTCTCCTGCTTTACCCACTGCTCCCTTCAGCAGTGTATTTCAGTAGATCTGCCTGTTCCGCTCCCCATTCTGTCTCTGGTGAATCCTCTTACCCCCCGCGCCATGCTTCTGGCCTTCACCCCAGTTCTTCTATGCATAAATAAATAAATAAATCTTTAAAAAGCAGCAAACTTAAAATCTTAAACCTTTCCACAATAGTCAATCAATTTGAATATGTTATGATCTTTAAGCAAAATTGCATGCCCTCAAAAAAGAACCTGCAGCACATACATTTAGCACTTATTTTTCCTGGGCGGAAATGACCTATGACTGAGTCACTGCAGCCTTACATGACATGACAGTGCCGTGTAGCACAGCTGGTCAGAATTACAGATGACTAAGAATCCTGTGATATCTCTGGCCAACTTCATCTCACATTTGAAAGCTGATTGTAAATCTTTTATCTGAGTGTGAGCAATGGGGTTGAGAATTTGTGCAACCCCTATTGGGCTCCCTAAGTTAGAACCTCCACCTCTAAAGTATAACCCTGTAATTTTCCTTTGAATTTCTTCTCTAGTTCACCATTGACAATCCCAGCACCTCTCGCCTTGTGGAATGCTGGGGGTTAATGGGTGCTAAAGTAGTATTTTCCTTTGTGCAGGAAGGGATAAGCAAAAGTTAGGGATAAGTTCTATTTTGCTCAGCTTGGCTAACAGCCTGGTGGCCTCCCTCTCTTCTACTATCCAGCTTCTGCTTCCCAAACTAAATTGGGATACTGTGTTGAAAGCAAGATCTGTAGCAGAAGTTTGTCCTCTATCCACATGCTGCTGATAAGGAAGCTCTTGCCTCCTGTGATGAGCACAAGAGCCATCTGGCTCATAAGACAAGTGTTTGCATGCTCATAAAAATGAGTATATAGGACTACAGGATATTATGAGAATAGGCTAATAAACTGCATAAATCATCTTTTATTCTCTCAATTCTGCCGCTTCTGCAAAGTGCAGTTTTTCCTTGCATGGCATAAAATGATCTACAGGTGTCCTGTATTTCATGGCTTCAGAAATCTGCAATCTTAGCTACTCAAAATGTAGCTGATGGTCATGAGCCGGAAGGATCAGCATCATCTGGGATCTTGTTAAAAATGCAACACCTCTTGGCTCCACCCCAAGTCGATCAGATCAGAATCTACATTTTAATAGCATCTCCAGGTGTTTCTTATGTACAACCACACTTGAGAAGTGCTGGCTTAGAATTCACTTGCTGGACGTTCTGCAAGTGAGTAGCTACATTTTGTAGACTTTTGGCTCAAGCTTGGCATAGTATACTGAGCATCTACCATGCAGCATGATGATGCCAAGCTGGAGAATATGAAACTAAATAAAAGGTGACATATACCTTAAGTTCATGGTCTAGCTGGGAATTCCGACCCAGAAAGAGATCACTTCTATTTAATATGGTAGTGCTAAGGTGAAGATATGCAGAGAAAACCGTGGAAAGATAGACCACTCCTTCCCCTAGACAGGGGGCCAGAGAAGGTTTCTTCAAGAAGTCTTTGATATGAATGAAAATGATGGACTGTAATTGAACCAGACAAAAATCAGGTAAGTGATCCAGCAAAAAGGAATTATCTCTCCTGGCTATTTGTCCTTAAAATGGGTTTTTGTTTAAACAAATGTTGGCGAGGTTGTGGAGAAAAAGGAACTCTCCTGCACTGTTGGTGGGAGTGCAAACTGGTCCAACCACTATGGAGAGCTGTGTGGAGATTTCTGGACCTACTAAACATAGAGCTTCCATAGGATCCAGCAATTCCACTCCTAGGTATTTACCCAAAGGACACAGAAACATCCATTCCAAAGAACACCTGCACCCCTATGTTTATAGCAGCACTGTTTACAATAGCTAAGCTTTGGAAACAGCCCAAATGCCCAAAAATAGATGACTGGATCAAGAAGATGTGGTATATATACCCTGTGGAATATTACTCAGCATTCAAAAAAGATAAACACATGCAATTTGCAGCAACATGGATGGCGCTGGAAGGGATCATGCTCAGCGAAATAAGCCAAAAAGAAAAAGAAAAATACCGGATGGTCTCACTCATAGCAGGAATCTAGAAAACTTAAATAAGGGATCAGGAAAATGAATAACTATAAGAAAGTGAAAATCAAAATCAACAAAAAACTATGAAACAGAGACACTTTTTGGGGGGTGGGGGGCGGGAGGGGATGGATTGGGGTCAGGATGGGGGGGTTGCAATTGTATGGGGAATATAAAAATAAAATTTATTATAAAAAATGGGTTTTTGTTTAAATCTTAACCCCCATTGTGTTGTGGGCAGGGAGAATTGACTAAGTGGATTTGGTGTTGCTAAACTGTGTCTAGAAGTGATGGGAGATGAGGAGAGAAAAATGAGTGCAGTCAGCCATAGAGGACCTTGTTCACCATGTTGAAAGCTTAGTTTCTGTTCTGCAGACACCAGAGAAGGAATGTGATTAGACTTTTATTATGGGTGCTACTGGATGCTGAACAGAGGGAATTGGAGGGAAGAAGAACTTGTCTCAGGCTAATCAGTGAGTCATCCAGCCAAGATTAGCCAGTGGTGCTCAGGTTGGAGA